TAATTATCATTGTTATTAATAGCAACGGACCCGCAGAAATATTTCTTTAAGTTTACATTTACTAACGTTAATTACTAAGAAATAATTTATTGTATCTACTGTGTCTGTACATAACACTGCAACGAGTTTGGGAATCATCGGTTTAAGTCATCGGCGAATTTACGTAAGAGAAACGAATACATTAGCGATAAGATAACAAGGAACAAGGTAGAGTTTAAGGTTGCGTTTGCGGTAGGTGCTACGAGCGACGCATCATAGTCAAAATATTAATAAAGATCGCTATAATGATCGAAATTGAACTGACTGAGACGCGAGTGAATTTGCGGTGTAAAACACTGATCCGAGGGTACATGAAATTCTAAATAGGTTCTTCGAACATCTGTGTATGCTCGATAGATTTGTTCAAAACGTGCAAGGTAATGATTGATTCGTTGCAATGAAGTGTTCAATGCCAACACTGTTATCACATTCAGAATGCGTGAATGCCGTATAAGTAATTTATCATAACACTTGTTCCAATCAAAAATAATGTAAGAAGTGACTGATAAATTAAACAACACGTTTCTTAATGCTAAATCAGAGTGCCCATCCTTTTTACTTTGAAATAGTCACGAAATGAGAAAGGTGAAAGGATCAAACACGGCAATATGGCTGAACTTCGATAACTCGAGCCTCTGAAACCTCGAAAACCTTCGAAAGAATAAAAATTTCCTTCATTCCACTTTGTAACTTTTGAAGAATGAACTTCTGTCGAATTGTTTCGTCATATGTTCACCATGTATTTTATCTCTATTTGTATCGAAACTTGAATGTAGAAACCTTTTGCAAGTCAAAGTTTGCTTCCACATTCACAGTAATTCATGAAAATGATTGAACACTTATCGTAAAAGAAATTTTGCGAAGTATTTTGCAATTTCGTTAACACCAACTATACTAAATGAGAAATGACAACTATGATTATATTGCTAACATTTTAAACCAACCTGAAAATGTGTATACCAGTTGCAAGATATTTGTTGCAAACATATATGTAGTAAAAAATTAGTCTATAGCATGAATAATCATTTTTTAATATGTTAAGTATATGATAAAAATATACATATGATTAAAAATGGTCCCGTTGAATATTAAGGCTCATTGATATAATGGATTATGACTGTATAAATAATTTTCTAATTTCTACGAAATTATATACTTGTATTAAATATAAATCTTGTAACTTCCATATTATGTACATTTTTAGATTTGTTTCAAAATTGATACAAGTATAACAATCGGTTGTCATTATAGTATATATATGAAATATCAAGATATTTTATATAATATACATTAAATATTCATAAAATATTCTTACAAACGTTCAAATACTTTCGTGAGAAATAAGTCAATAATTAATCCAATACGATCACTGACGTTATAGTTGTCAATTGTTCATACTCTAATAATGAAATTATTTAAATGTCTTCAGAAATTGGAAAATTAATTCTGGTAATTAATACGAGGCTTTTATAAATCAAATTTTTAATCGCTCGAAAGTTCGTTTCGCTTTCTTCAAGATTCAAGTTATCGAAGTACGACTGTATTCGGAAATCTGCCGAATGGAACTTTAATAGACTGCGATTTTTATGGGCATTTCTGGGAAATCTGAAAGTTCAAACTTTTACAAGATGCATACAACACGCAAAAGTATATAAAATACTTATAATGTTTAACAAATGAAATAAAGTTCCATCTCTTTGATTATGAAAACGCAATAGAAATTCGCAGTTTTACCATTCGCAATTTCTTTAATCTTACTACACTAAGATACAGATTGTATGTCATTGTATTCCGACGAACAAACGCAACATTATCATCAACTTCTGCACGTTTGATCGGTGTTTCCATCAGTGGATCTGCTCCAACTTCAACGCGATCAAACGCATAGATCTGATAATATGACGCACTAATCACTCGAGTACTCGACACTTTTCTTACGAACTTTTCTCATACAGATTACGTACGTTTGATCGACGTTGGATCATCTGTAATTTAAGGAAAAAAAAAAAA